CCGACAAATCGACACACCAAGTTATTGTCTTATGAATTAGAGAACCTAAAGATTAAAGGAACGCGCTGCAACCCCTTCGCATTCATGGCGCCAAGAGGGAACATTTTAGTGGAATCAGGACCAAGAACATGACTATAAGGGAAAGAAACAGCTTGTCTGAATGGTTGGCAAAGTAAATAAGAAAAAAAGCTAGGAATTGTACCCAATGTCAAGCACACAGTAAGATCTCATGCGAGCATTGAGATCTACGAGTTGCATGAGCAGAAGCCCAATAAGACCCAGCCTTGATATGGTGCCCGCTAGCAGGGTCATACGGACTTACCGAAACACGCCTACACCTACGTGAAGTCGGCGAGCTAGGGAGCTGCGGTGCTGCTGAAGAGGCGCAAAAAGTGCACCATATGAGAATCTCAGTCATGAGCTCTCAAGTTGGAGAGCTAAAAAATTATTCTAGACTGATTTGTAGTTTCCACAAATAGTGCAAACAAGAATCACAACCAACCATAGGTGACCAAGTACCGCAACATGGAATGAACCAATCGACTGATTCCTGTTGTGGACAGTCAAGCTGATCGCTGCAAAGTAGTAGCTGCTAAGGTAGAGAGAGCATTTCACCGCAAACACCAAGAACATACATTCATGAGCGAAAACGGCCACGTTGCTGAACTCTCGCCACTCATTAGCTCGAACCTGGGGAACTAGGGTAAATTTACCGAGTCTTCTTTTTGAAACCAAAATATTCTCTCTGCGCTCTGCGAACTACAATCCTTACATATATCGAGATGGATACGTCCCTTGACACGAGTGGTCCATAAGAGGATTGGCACAATACCAAATGAACACAGCTCAGTGAATGCTTATAATTGAGGTCGCATCTCAGGCTTACGATATGGAAGGAGTTAGCACAAACCATTTGCTGAAAAATATGGAAGAGCCTTTTTCCTATAGCAAAAATCAAGCATTGGTGCATAGTCATCTTAGCCACGACTTTTTTGATTTTCACTCTATCGAGATAACCAACAACCCCATCGTTTCATTAGAGACAGTTTTTTTTGCAGTTCTCGCTTCCCCATCTCCGCCAAGGTGCATCGAGTCTCTGCGCTTTCTCACATCTCCCACTACTAATCTATTCATCATGGACGCCATCATTCGAGATCTCTAGCATCCAGCATCCAGCGTAGTTGCTTTTTTCTTTCTTTCTTTACTCGTGTAGGGACGTCTTGTTCGTTCGGGAGGTTAGAATCATTGATTGTGCTGAGGTACACGGCCCATACTCTCATCAACTGACATATTTCAATTTTGGTCAATGATCTTATAACAGAAAAGAGAAAGATGTTCGTATTGTATTGAAAAAAAACTCTCTAAGGTTATAGGCAGAGCAGATACTAGGTGTACCTTTCTAGCTTTGCGAGCGAAAATTAAAATTTTTCTCCCTCCTGTGTAATAGCCAAAGAGAAAAGAACAAATGATGTGCTTAAATTCCTATACTTTACACAAGCTTTGGCTTTCTGCATGCATTGGTAGTTGAATTCTTGTGCTACTAAACTCACTGTAATGCTCTTCAAGGTGGCATGGGTGTCGTCGCTCCTATGAGCCTTCCTGAGAATGTGGACCGAGAAACCGACCGCATACTAAAGGACACCGTCGCGTCATTGAGAAAAGATGGTATCATCTACAGGGGTGAGTGGATGCTGTGGAGCCCATTCTCAATCCACTCCATCTTACTTACAGTTGATTTTAATCAGTCGATCTTTTACTGGGAACCCCTACTGATCGGCAGGACATTCCAAAATAGCGTTGGTTAATGAAAAAGTAAAGAGCGGGAATCATTACCCAGTAGGCTTCCTTGAAGTAGCACTCACTGTCTTTCAGGAGTGATTTACGTCCTCCTCATAGTGACAGCGGATGGCCCGCAACTTCTGGAATACAACTGCCACTTCGGAGATCCTGAAACAGAGGTGAATGCTGTGCACAAGTTTTCCTCTCAATTCTTCAAACGTCTTTTCGCTCACTGAAGGAAATAATTGCGTATAAATGGTTCACGTCTCCAAAGAGCTAAAACCGCTGGAGATCTTGGATTCAAGTTTAAAACTAGAGTAGTTTTCTAGCCAACTGACGTTGCCAGTAAGAGAGCATTTTTTGCCTTCTCGGTAGCAGGGGATGCGAGTGTTTTGATTCAACTATACTATAGTGCCTCTACGAAGTAATGCCCCACTTACCACTAATATATTGCTCGCATGTGGAGCCTCTTCTCTCGAGAAGGCATCCAGAAGCTGGAACGAGTTCAACATGTGCTTCATGCTGTTGTCGGACAGTTCACATGTACTGATCAATTCCTCCCCGGAATATGTGTTTTCTTTTTACATCCTTGAGAAAGGAGTGAAATTACCAGCAACTCAGTACTGTATTTTTAGTCCGACTAGTGAGAGATTTGGTTGGTTAATTGTCACTGTCTCTATTCACTCGAGGAACGCTTTTTCGAAGCCTAATAATCTCTTCACCCGTTGTGCAAGATGGTTCAAGCTTCTGCCGT